CCATCTACAAAACCAAACAAAACGAAGCTGAAGAGATGATAAGAAAGCTGCAGAAAAAAGGTGATTTTCACATTCATGGTGGTTGTTTTCTGCATGGTGGATTGTACCCCATCCTTTGCATGGCTGGGGGCTTAGGTGTCCCTTCTAGGTGCAGATGTCCTTTTATTCTTCATTTGATGGTCTTGCCCTGTTTTTTTCCTTCTGATTTTGAGAGTTTTGTCTGGTTGTCTTTGCTGTCCAGTTTCCAAACCAAATTTTCCAAGAGGCAGTGAGATCTTGTTGTATTTCATACTTACAGGTTTTATGAACGTCACAAAAAAAATTAGAAGTTCCTTTGAAGTATTTTGACCACTTATTTCAAACGTTTTGGAATCCCTCTCTCAAGGTTAATTTATTTATACATTCAGTACATTTCAATCAAACCACAATGTCTTGTTTACTTAGGACTGTTGCAGCAGGAGATTTCAAACATGAGTAGAAGTCTTGAATATGTCATAAGTATGAAACTTGGCCTGAGTGTGGCTTGTCAGCAGTTTTTGGATGTTTATTTTAGAATTCCTTGGAGTCCATTTACACTATGGACTAGACCACAATGTGAAATAATGCACAAGTTTGGTGCCCTACGTTTAAAAAGGGAGAGAGTTCCCATGTGTGCTGGTTCCTGCTTCTTGGCAGAGTGAATTGCCCAGCTGGGAATCTGGTGCTTCTCTTGGTGGGCTGGTGGTTGAGTTTGGCTGTAATGGCTTGTGTTCAAGTCACCTACACTCTTGTCAGAGAGTGAAAATCATCAGTCACTTTTTCAAAAGTGACTATGTACCTGCTTTGTTTTCCACCAAATTTGTCAGCCTGTGAATTCTTGATGCAATCCCTTGTGGTTTGGGGAGCTTAATTTCCTTGTATATTTTGGCCATTCAGCCTTTACAAGAACCTTTTCTCCTACGGATGCACAGGTTAAAAGTGCCTGTTTTCTTTAGGTAATGGAATTTTGTTGATGTGTTTTCTGCTTCAGTAAGGAAAACTCACTGTAAAATTTATGTAAATGAAGCAGACAAGGAAGAACACCATGTCATATTTCTGTGGTTGCTTTAAGTCTATTTAAGAGCCAGAACCCACCAGAAAGCCAGGTAAATTGGAAAACTGATGTAATGTGGTTACAACTGTGGCCAACACTGAAAAATCCCAAAGGTATCTCTTGAATGATTCCTTATTTTCCCTTTTTTGACAGTTGAGATCGTTGTTCGTGAGTTACAAGTCGTCAGGGAAGCGAAAGAGAAGCAGATTGAGGAACTAAAGAAAATGTGTGAGCAAAGCAATGAATCTTTGAACAATGAGTGGGAGAAAAGGGTAATGACTAATAACTTGCTGTCTTTGAAAGACTGCTACAGTGTGTATCTGGGATAATACCTTTTGACACTTAAAAAAAACATACTGTAAGGAATATATTACTTGTAATGATGTTGCCTTGTGCTGATTTTCTTTTTTTGCTGGGGTCATTTTGCAAGACTCCTTGTGCTGATCCTTGCACATCCACACCCACCTGTGCAGTCACCCCCTGCACCCTTGCCCAGCTGATCCCTCTCTTACTGGGGTTCATCTGGCCCTCTTGACAAGTCTCTGGATGTATTAGGGAAGTGTTTATTTCTGGTTGACCTGACATGGAATTTTAATCTTGGTAAACCTGCTGCTACCTGCTGTCACGGGGATTCCTTTGAACTATTATTTTTGCATTGGGTCATGGGTTCTTCAATGTATTTTTATTTATTGTTAGACTCAAGGCAGCAGCAAGGCAGAGAGACAAGCATGTTTACTGCAAGACAGCTTCACCTTTGCCAGATTATTGTCAGTATTTGTCTTGCTAACCCCTCTCAGAAGAGGGAGGGTCACAAAAAGGGCAAAACCACCTCCCTTGTTAGATGAAGTATTCAGTTTAATTTAATGTTTGCAGCCCTGCATCTGGAAGTGATGTTTGGTTTAGTTCTTGTCTTCTAGGAGATAAATCATAAATCTTGTGCTTTGTGCTTAAGACCTGGAGGCTTCAGTTTTAGGTGTTGGGTTTTTTGTTTGTTTTAGAGAGCATTATTTTCAGCCCAAGGCCATCCCACCTTTTGCAGTTCCTAGCAAATGCTGTTTCTACAGCTGGAAGTGTCATCAGTGATGCCAGAGTGGAAAAAAGAATGAAAATTAAAATGCTAATACTAATTTTATCTTAATGAAATTATGAAAGTGAAATCAGAACATGTATCTTAGAGAAGAAAGGGATTAGTGGAAAGTATGATGGTAAATAAAGGAAAAGTTAACACTGGAATATTTTTATAACTTTAGATACTACTTCCTTCTGTGTCATTTTTCCAGTGAATGTTTGAACAGATGTTGTTGACAATAATGCAAATATTACTATAGTCTGTTGTACAGGAGGTAGAGAATTTTTGGGTTTATTTCTTCCTTTTATACCTGGAGAGGAAATATTTACTTTCCCACAGCATTTTTAATAGGATCTCAAATTTAGCAAGCCTTCTGAGCACCACAGTATATACATGATAATTACAATGATTTATTAGCATTCTTGTCTTTTGGATGAAGAATTTACATTCAGTTACTGCACATTGCTGGAGTCTGTTAAATAATGGCACAGATGCCCAGACACCTCCATGATAGTACTGGGCTGTATGTTGGAGAGAAAAAGCTATCCTAGTGCAAATTAACCTGATTTTAGCAGTGTGTTTAAAACAATGCTTTTCTCTTGTGTCTTGCATGTTTCTCCTTCAGCTGAGAAGGGAATTTGTTAGAAGCTTGAGAAATACACACTAGCTGTTGTACAACAACACACAATTTGACATGACAATGTTCTTTCCTGTTGTACAGATAGAAAGTTTGGAGCTGAGGCTGCTTAACTAGAAAAGGCCACTGGTGTTTAGAATGTAAATCAGGGGTTATTAATGACACAAATAACCCTTTTATTAGACAAGTAGATAGCCAACACTCTCTGGCTTCTTACAAAATGAGAGGCAGAGGAACAGGCAGTATGAGTGTCTGGAGAGGGTATTAGTGTTTCTGTAGTAGAAGTTCATTGACTGTGCAACAGTCATTGGTGTTCAGTTTAAATGTATAAACAAATAGCATGGCAGAGAAGGGCAAAAATATGTATGTGTTCAATATTCTGTACAGATAAGTTATGCCCTCTATACATTTTAAAATTACTTCTAAATTGCCACCTATAGTGTCATAGTAGATGTATTTAGTGAGACAAGGATGTACAGAAATGCAACTATTCTGTTTACATGCTATAATAATACTTAAAATGCTAGTTTTATGTGCCATTTATTTTTTGGTAATATCTTGGTGATGCAGCTTCACAATTCTGTGGCTGAGATGGAGAAGAAGAATTTTACTATTCAGAAGCAGCACACGGAAAACATGCAGCAACTGCTTGAGGACACCACTGGTCGCCTGAGGAAGATGGAGGAAGATTATTTGGAACAGCTAAATTCAACTGTAAGTTTTTTGAAAACGTGTCATGACAGCAGGTGTCTCTTGCAGTGTTCAGATTGCTTGCATTTGTGCAAAAGTGTACTTAAAAGCTGGTGAGCTAAGAAGTGTTTTAGGAGTGAAATGTAGTTGTCCTGTCCTGGGAGAGGACAGTGTCCTGGCAGCCAGTCCAACCAAGGACTTTTTCCCATGGATCAAATTCGAAGTACAGCCCTTCAGTGAATATTACACAGATATCCCTTTGTGCTGGAAGGTTGTTTCTAGCCTTTCTCACTGGTTTTGATCAAGTTAGCAGAACTTTTGTCTCTGTAGGTTTGTAGATTACAAAAAGGATTGATGTAGTTAATCTATTTTCCTAGATAGATGTGACTTCTTACTCCTCTTTCAATGATCAAATACTTCTGTTAAAGACCAAATAAGAAGTATTTAAAAAATAATCAATGTATTATTTTAATGTATTACATTTCTATCCTAGGATAATTAGAAACATGTAAGAAGGTGTAACTTGGACTTTGTACCTGCTGTATAAATGGTGTAAAAAGCCAACAATTACCAAGTATCCTCCAGAAAGCATCTTGTTCTTTTTATCAGTATGAGGTATTTGAATGAGTGAAAAGACAATGTCAAAAAAATTTATTCCTTTATTAATGAATGTTGAATTTAAAAATTAGCATTCAGATCATGTCATAGGTAACAGTAAATACAGAGAAAAATGGACACAGTCTGTCAGCAAGATCGAATTTAAGAACCATCAAACCTAGACAGATCTTGCTGAGCAGCTTCTGGTTTAATAATTAAACAAGGTAGAGTTCAAGGCAGGGTTTAAGATGAAAGACTAGACTGTCAGTGGAAATTAGTTTTCTTTTTTTTCCTCTCTCTTTCTTTCTCCTGGTTTTTGTGAGGTTTTTGTTGGTATTTCAGAGATGCCTTGTTCAGAGATTCATGTTGTCCAGAATGCCCTGGCAGTTACTGACTGAACAAAGTAACTAATGCCACAAAACTGAGCAGCTGGGTTTTGTGCATTGAACAAGAACTTCCCAAAGGCTGGGGGCAGGGAGGAGCTGCAGCACTTCAGGATGGTCTTTTTTTAATGTGTGTTGCTGATCTTTTAAAAAAAACTTCCACAAAACCAACCAACCAAGCAAGCCCCCAACACCCATACTGTGCAAGTGGCTCAGTATTGATGGAAAAGTTTGCTGAACTATGTTCATGAAATCTCTTAAAACACTTGCCAAAGTTCAGGTGACCATTCTGCTGCTTGAGGTTCTTGCTTTACTCTAGGCTCACTTAACAGCTCTGTGACTGGAGATGGCAGATGTTTGTGTTCTTATTTTACTTTAACAGAGGGTGAAAATACTGTTCCACTTCCCTCACCTTCAGACTTTTGTTAATATAAAAATAACTATGATATGCACATCCTGGAAGGACAGCTGTGTCTTAGTTTTTAACTCCAGCCTCTGAGGAATTCTCTTATTTCCGTGCCTATTAGAATAAATTTAGGGAAGAATAGGAAGGAGAATTGTTGTCTCAGGTTACCTGTCTGTTCTTATTCTGCTAGTTTTGAAAACTGTTTTTATTAGCACAAGAAATTCCAGGAAAAAGAGAAGTTTTAATAGATGTTTGTAATTTACTGAAAGGCAATCACTGTAATTAAATGATACAGAGAAGTGGGTATGGGGCAGGTGCAGCACCAGAGTCTCTCAGAATTTACTGTATTCCTGTGCACTCTTTC